GCTACAATTTTGAACCATTATATAGAATTATACTGGAAGGGATTATTTATGCCAATCCCAACTACTTGTTCAGTGCAGTATCCAAATCAAAGCATCCCTTTAATTCCTGAAACTTTGTAGTTATCATAGGGGTGATTGCTAGTTGACTGTTCAGTGGAAGGTATAAGAAACACACAAAAATGCAATGCCACTATTGAGCCTGCTTTTCCCCCCCAGGTTAAACACTTTAGTTAAATACACTAAATTTTCATATTAGGTACAAATAATTCTGTACTCATTATGGAGGAGTTTTTACTTTTGAAATGAATTACTTTGAATAGAAGTTTTAGGTGGAAAAATTCCATGCTTGGATAGAAACAAAATTAATCCCATGGATTAGAAACATGTTAATCGACTCACCAAAACAATTTTGAATGTCTCACTGAATAATCACTGCCAAGAAGGTAACCATCACTACTATACCTTCTGCATTTCATCCTTTCCCAACCAATTTATTGTCTCCTGTCCCAAATAAGCCATGGATGTGTACCTATCTCAGGTTATGCCATGAATCTGATGAAGTTGGCTGAAATCCATGAGTTTTATTTGTAAAGTCTTAAGGTGCTACAAGATTGCCGGTCTTCAAATGTAATTTTTATAAATTGAAAGCAGTGTGAGTCAGCAGTGCTGAAAAACTTGCACCTTCTGAAGTCTGTCTCTCGAATGAAATAAAATTTAAATACAAGAGAAGTAAGACACTATGCGTTGATAGATGACACAGATTACATTGGTTCATAAAGCAAACAAATCGGTATAAATGAAAAACTCCCCATTCCCTTGCTTTAAGGAGTGTGAATTTGTGGTACTTAAAAACATGTGCCTTCCTGGTGTGTCGGGGGTGCCTTTTAGGGTTAGCAAGGCCTCGCTCTAGGCATCAAGGGATGAAATGTGGGTGATGGCAATCCCAGGCATTTGTTGCAAGTTGCTATAATTATACTTTGTGGAAAAAGTGCAGCTTTCAGTTACTTTGGATTTCATCACTGTGGCGCAGAAGAGACAATAGATTCAATTCAGCTTGATAGGGTCAATTTTTCCTGATGTTTAGTACCTGGATTACACACTTAAGGGAGCTTTAGTCACCAACCCTTTGCAGCACTTGACTGTCATGAAGTAAATGCTGGCTTTGTTGTTTTTCTGAGCTACCCATGAAGAATCTTGCCCAAATTAACTATCACGCCAATCTCTTGTGTGAGCTTTCAACACTATAGTTTTGGTACATCAAAAGCACTTCGTCCTGGCAAGTTTGAAGAGCATCCAATAACTGATACCTTTCAGAGTGGGCTCTGATTGCAATTGCTAGGACTAATCTACTTTAGGGAGGAGGTGCGGCTCATCATGTGACCAATTTTCAGGATCAATGTTTTTCCCTAAAACCCCACTGCTGTTGTATCCATTTTGAGTACTTGTATGTTTTCAGTAGTGTCAATCTGGTACTTCATAGAAATCCAGCAGCTCCATATTGTCCTAGTTTGCATGTAGCCAAAGTCTTTTATATGCTTTGTCAAGAAATAAAACTTGTTTGAAAGAGGCTGTTTCTCCTAGTGAAAATGTATTTGCAGATATGGGAAGCTAAATCTTGTGCAACTGCTGAACAGGGTTGGGCAGTCATTACACTGAATTATACAAGGAAGGTGGGTAGTGAGCATCATCATTCCTGGAATGTGAAGTTATGCTGTCACTTCAACCCCATTAATCCAAAACACAATATGGAGGCTTGGTTAAAGTTTTCTTGGTTTCTTTTTTATGTCAAATAAACAGCCTGAATATAAACATAGGGAGACTTTCTTAAAAGGGGGGAGATTAAAAAAAAAACTAGTATTTTACTTTTTATATCCCTCAATTGCAATGATCAGGAAACTAGGAACTGACATAAAATGTAAAACAACTCAATCTGCAACTGGAACTAATTCCTTCTTCCATGGAGTTGGTCTAATAGTGCAGAAGACTTTTGCCCCCACCTATAGGAAACTATGGTAGCCCAGCTCACAATTCCAGGAAAAAAAATAGAGAGAATAAACATTATTCAGTGCATCTGTTTATTAAACAATGATTAATTACACTCTCGACAGGCAACTGCTTAAATGCAGCTGCTTATACAAATTAACATTTTGTGTGTGTCTTGTGCCCACTTGTGCCAGGTGGCAATATCCAAGTTTCCTCATGCGTCATAAAAGGAACATTCAGGTAACAAAAATACATCTTCCAGGGAACCTCCCTTCGTAACATTGATAAGCATGATGACAGAAGAGATGCCATAATCTGCATGAATTTCCATTAGGTACAAAATTGACAGAAACAAAACAGAATACTAGTGTCATGAAACTAATGTTAATAGTTCACCTGGTGTTATTTTTTCATGTAACTTCAATAGGCATTTTAAAGGACAGTTTATCTACAGGCTTAAGTAAAAAAAAAATCTTAAGGGCTGCAGAAAAGTAACGAAAACTGTAAACAGATGGAACAGATCAGTTTCACTTTTAGGTGCATCTGTATATTGAACAGCTTTTTTTATCTCCTAGCTAAACTACCGGTAGTACCACTCATTTTCTATATAGCCACCCAGAACTTTTGGTTAGGCCAGTATTTCATAGGCTTGGAGTGTATTTAGTTTAAGACTCCCTAATACTGTTTAGGAGCTGCACTGGCCACCAGCTGGCTTATGGATGCAATTCAAAGTAATGTTACCTCCAAAGTCCTAGATGGCCCAGGGCCTGGATACCTTTGAGATTGCTGTCTTTTAAGAGGTGCAAGATGATTTTTTAAGAATTAGAATTCTTTATTGGCCTAGTGTGATTGGACACACAAGGAATTTCTTTGGTGCATATGCTCTGTATACATAAAAAAACAAGATACATTCATTAAGAATCATAAGGTACAACACTTAATGATAGTCATAGAGTACAAATAAGCAATCAAAAGATCCCTTCTCTGCCATCTGTAGGGCTCTGAAACTGGACCCATTCAGTAATTGTGTACAACAAAGGGAAGAGAAGTTAGCTTGTAAGTTTACTGCCACAATAATGGGGGAAAGAATCTCTTTGCCCCAATATGTAGGACTTCATAGGGTCAAAGGAAAAATGGATACTCAGTGGTTTTTTAAAAATATTTTTATTGTAATTTTCCTTCATTTTACATCGCAATTTCAATTTTGCAACGACGATATGCTGGTTGATCAGCATATTTTTAAATATATCGTAGTTATACATCCTAGTTCGGACCATTTTTCTTATTCATACAGTATAGTCCGTAGAATAATTTTTTAAAAAACTTGGTATTATACAACATACTTATATCTATTGTATCCATGGTTATAACATACTTCTCTAACTTATTCACCCTCTTTCATCATCCATTTTCTAGCCTTTGCATCTGTTGTCTAGCCAATTGTACCATAAGTCCCATATCAGGTAATACGGTTTCTCCTTTGTCTTTAATTTCTATTGTTGACCTGTCCATTTCAGCATAATCTAATATTTTATTATCATTTCCTCTGTGGGTATACTTCCATTTTTCCAGTTTTGTGCATACATAATTCTAGCCACTATTACATGTAACATTAAATATTGAATTCTTTTATTGCATTTCCCCATTACTATGCCTAGTTCTGTGTTTTAGGTCTATTTGTTGTATTATGCTCTATTTTATCCTTGCCCAATATTTTTCCACCGATGGGCAGGTCCACATGTGATAAGATCCCTGTGCCCGTTTGCATTTCCAACACTCTGGTGACGTTTGGAAATTTTTGCCAATCTTGTTGATGGTAGATGCCATCTATGGAACATTTTGTGCATTTTCTTTATATGACGTTGACATTGTTAGTCTATTTCTTTCCCACAGCTTTTGCCAATTATCTAGTTATATAGTATACCGTTTTTTGCCCATGTTGTTTCCTTTACTGATTTTTCTTTCATTTTGAAATTCAATAGGTAGTTGTAAAACATCAGTTTTTCTTCTGTCCCCTGCAATATCTTATCCAATTCTTGCGGTTCACTATAGAAGCCATTTTTATCTGCATCCTTCTTATATCTTGTATTTGCATATAAAGCCACCTGTCTGTCAATTTCCTGTTTTTTTTAGTCCATTTTGTTTTTAATTTCCCTTATTCATTTAATATATCTTTATATCTATTTTATCCAAATCTAACATGTTAGGGTATATTAGTGCTTCCATTGTGGAAAAGTATTTTCATATAGTGATTAATTTTTTCCCATACTAACAGAGCATTTCTAACCTGGTGTCTTTGGAAGTAGCCATGTGCTTTATTTTTCCCACCCCATATAAATGCATGCCATCCCAATTGTAAGTAATGTCCCTCTACGGCCAACATTCTTTTATTAAGGTTTAGCCACTCTTAGCCATGTAAGCACTGAAGCTTGATAGTACAGCTCCCAATCTGGTAGCCCAAATCTTCCCTTATATTTATTTATTTTATTTTATTTACAAATATTTATATGCCGTCCTTCTCCCAAAGGACTCAGGGCGGCGAACAAAAGTTAAAAACATTCAATGGAGAAAAATCCTAATTAAAACCAATTAAAACAAGGAACAAATAAAATAAAACCCAAGAATCAGAATCAGCCCATTTGTTGAAACAGCCAAGTCTTTAGGCCGGAAGGAGCGGAGATCAGGCGCCGTCCGGAGCTCAGTGGATAACTCATTCCAGAGGGCAGGAGCGCCCAGAGAATGCTCTACCCCTGGACGTCTCCAGCCGATATTGTCTGGTTGACGGTAACCTGAGGGCCGCCGTGTGTGAGCGGACAGGATGGTGGGAGGTGGGTAGGAGATGGTCCTGCATATACCCCCGACCTAAGCCATGAAGGGTTTTATAGGTAAGCGCCAGCACCTTAGTGTCCTGTATCATTTTTGATTCTTGGTTTCTTTCCTTGCCAGATAAATTATGTTATCATTCTTCAAAAGTCTCCCCCTAGGTTTATCGGAATTACTTGAAATAAAAGTAAAAATTTCAATAGAATATTCATTTTAATTGTGGCTGTTGTTCTGATCAACGAATTGTAGATTTTTCCATTTGTCCAAATCTGTCTTTATTTGCTACATTAATTTAGTATAGTTCTCTTCTTCGATCGATATACATCTTGCTGTTAGCCAAATTTGGGAATAATAGTCTTAAGTGCATTGAATTGTAGTAATATTTGTCCAAGCCTGAAACAAGATTTTACAAATTGGTTAGCAACATTGAAGCACTTTTTACTTGTATTAATAATGGCTTCTTATATGAAGTTTGTAAACATTTATAACAAACTCGAGGGAGAAGGGCAATATCCCTTATTAGTATTCCTGGGTGAACAGTGTCCTTTGAAAATAAGATGCAGAAATCAATCCCAGCAAAATACATTTAACATTCCAACATTAAAACGTACAGATCTTTTTTAGTATGACCGTTTATCTGAACCGCTTTCAAATTGTCCAGATTACTAGATAGGATTCTCAGATACACAAAGGATGAACTAGATACATACCTACTACCTCCATGCATCTTAGAAGTGTATTCTTCTAAAATCTTCTTTCAGTTCTTAACTTTAATGCAAATCTGATCTGATTTAAACCATGTTCATGGCAGTGCAAATAGTGTGTATCTAACAAGCCTCTTCAAGGAAATCTGCAGGGACTTCCATCTTTGAAGATTGGGTAGATGAGAAACCTAAAAAAGAGAGAAAAAGAATTGGGAATTCCTGCTGCCAAGCTAGTTTGGTGTAGTAAATTAAGATGGTGCCCTAGAAACCAAGACTGAATTCTAGTCCCAATTTAGATGTACAAGCTGGCTGGATGTTGGGCCAGTCGCTCTTGGCCCAACCCATCTCCTCACAGGGATATTATTCTGGGGAAAATTGGAGGGAACATCAAGTGTGTTTGTCACATTCAATTATTTATAAAGTAATTATTAAAAAAATTAATAGAAGTCATGTTTTCTCTCAAATAGGAAAGCCAAGAAAAAAAATCTTGTCTTGTCTTATCCCGGTTCTAATTTTATTAGTTCAATATAAGCAATATTAAATAAAAAGATTTATATCCATGTGGGCACGCATGTAAGAGAAAAACATTAAATATAACGGAGTCTAAAATTAAAAACATGGTTAATGAACCCAAACAAAATAATCTCCAATCCTAAGTAATGGTACAGTTTATTGTAGGAATGGTAGCACAGAAATTAAGGTTATTTTCACATCTTTGTCTTTAATGCTATTTTACTAGCATTAAATAGAAATTGCACTTCCTACCTGGAAATTTTTCAAGGCAGGATATGTAAGGGTCTGTCTAGATACTTTCATATAGGGAACAGTATATGACCTAGAATTTCTATTGAACCATCACCACATGGACATAATAACCAAAGAACCTTAGGATAGACTGCTTAGAGCAGTGGTTCTCAACCTTCCTAATGCCGCGACCCTTTAATATAGTTCCTCATGTTGTGGTGACCCCCAACCATAAAATTATTCCTAAAACCATCGGAAATATGTGTTTTCCGATGGTCTTAGGCAACCCCTGTGAAAGGGTCATTTGACCCCCAAAGGGGTCGCGACCCACAGGTTGAGAACCACTGGCTTAGAGCATCATATCCAACCTGGCTAAAAGTAAAGGACTTACAAAAAATTAAAAATGGATTTTAAATATGTAGCTGGAAGGGACTTTTTTGGGAGCAAATGATAATAGGAGTGTGACACCTTACTTAGGCTTGTTTGAAAAAAGTGTATCCCAGATGTTACTTAAGGGCAGTTCTAGTACCTAACATGCAAACTTTCCACAGAAGCCCATCAACTAAATTTTATCTTGTCCAGATTCTAAACTACCCGAAATCTAGAACCAAACTTGGATATAATAGCTTGTTCTGGGTTTGAAATATTTTTGCAGGTTAAGGGTGTGCAGGCACACACCCTTAGAAGCCAAGAACTATCTATTTGACTTACATCTTTTCCAGTTAAGAGTCGGCATTTCAATCACAATTGCTCATCTTGGAGGACAGCTTCTGGCTCCCTGAAGAAAGAAAAAGAGAGGCTTGTAATGAAAGAGTGTTTGGGAGAACAATGGTTTTCCCTCCATAGAGGCTCCTCAGAAAGAACCATCTCAACAGCAAGAGTCTGCCGGTAATTCCAGCATATAAAAGGTTTTATATCATCACGGTGAGCCTTCCTTCATACTATCCAACTTCAGAGGTTTTTGAATTTACCTTTGGATGTTTCTCCCGCAACTCTATACATTGATCCTTTCTATGGCTTTTTGAAGTCAGATCCCACATGGCAACGGCAGAAAACCTGCAACACAATCCAAGATTAGAGGAGAACCTAAAAAAGGAGGTTTCTGTAATGTTGGTGGGAGGTTGGGCCTATCTCCTCTTCCTCCCCCCCCCTTTTTTTTTTGGTCTGGACTGAACCTAGGCCTGTCTCGGGAAGGAGGAATAGTGGCAGGGGAAGAGAGGGCAACTTGCGGTCAGCCACGAGGAATTTCTCGTCAGTTCTCGCATCTGACGGCACTTCCTATCTCGGCTCATCATCCCGCGAAGGGAAAAAAATTAAGGCCCACGCGAGGCGCCATAGGCCTCCGGGTAACACAAACAGCAGGGAGAACGTTGGCTCACAAAAGGCCCAGACAAGGACCGATCCCCGCAATTCACACCCTTTTTCTGGGGCGCCATGAAATCTCTCACCTCCCTCCGACAACACCTTCGATAACGTCAGCGGCGAAGCGCGGAAAAGAGCGAGCCGCCTCCACGCGGTCTCTTTTAAGGCGGAGGGACAAACCATTCGGACGACGGGTGGGTGGACCGGAGAAAAAGTGGCTGCTGATTGGTTCGAATATACCATTTCGCCGCTGCAAAATCGGGGGGGGGGGAGAACGGAAATGGATTGAAAGCGGGAATATTTTGGAAGATTTCCGGGTCAATAGTACGGGCGGGGGGAAGAGGGAGCGAGAGGTTCCTGCGAAGGCGAACAGCCGCGGTTAAAAAAAAGGGGGTTGATCTTCTGGGATGTGCTTTTCACTGCGGAACGTTGCCGAACGCGAGAGGAGCGCAGTCACTAATAGTTGCAACATAATGGTTGGGGGTGGGGTGGGATTAGTGGTGTCAAATTAAGAATCGGGATTTCCCATGTTAGAGGGAAAAAAACCAAGCGTAACTAAGGAAAACAAGCGACCTCAGTTGTCTGCATCTGCACATAAAATGCTGTTATAATCACGGATTATCAAACATTTCTGGGTGCAGCCAAATAAAATAGGCTTGTTCACTGCGAAGTGTCTTTCTGTTCACCCAAGATGGATCTGGTTGCTGGTGATAACTTAACATCATCTAACTGCAGGAAGTTAAAACCCACCCCTCGCCTAGAAAAATCAAATATTTTAGGAAATATTAAGAGGGTAGAATATTTCCCTTAAAAGGGAGGCAGAAACTCGGCTCCCCACCTTTGTCAATGGGCCATTAAGGCCTGGGCCAGTCCATAAAAGATCTACCTCCTTCAGGCAAAGCCATTTAATTGCCCTTCATTGCATCACCCAACAAGATTCAACCAAATTTAGCACACAGACAACCTACAAAGCTAGCCATGAGCTCTGACAGCAGCTAATCAGGATATTCTTCCTGTGCCCCAAGAAGTTCAAAGCCAGAGAGGGTATAAAACTCGGGGATTCTCAGCATCTCTTCCCTTTTTCCACCCAAGATCTCCAAGGCATGTGATCCTGTTCATCAATAGACCTTCTTTTCAAGCAACTTCCATGAATCCAGTGTCTTTTTCCCCACTTGGAACTGAACCCAGAAGGATATTTCTTCCAACATTACTAAAAGGCAGATCCTAAACTTTTTGCCACCTCTCCGTTTCATGAACTGACTTTCAATGACAGAGGTCTAAATTAAGTTACAGTTCAATTAGACAGAAAGTGATGTAGCTGTAAATCAGCCTATGCTACATAACAATCGGATGGCTCTGTTAATTTTAGAGCATAAACATTTCCTAGGTAAATATAAAGACTCGTACTAAGCCCTTGCAAAGTTGGGACTGTCAAGTGCATCTTTAGTGACCTCATAAGTCTTGTCCAAAGTGCCATTCTCAAGCACCCAAAGACAGAGCCAACCAGAAAAGAAGTACCCTGGGGTGAGGGAAAAAAGGTTGAGGAAGCCTTGACAGAACATAGGCTGCCTCTGCAAATTCAAACTTGTCTTCCTATAATGTTTCATGAGGGTTGATGCTTCTGACCATGTCACCGTCTATGTCTAACAGAGCCCTTGGTGACAAGGCTAATATTTCTCTGCCAAAGGGGGCAATAATAGCCCTGGGTAGCTGACTGTTGCTTAGCTGAATAGGCCAGTATAATGCATCCCTTAGCTCATCTGCTGAAGGAGAAGGCTATTACTCATCTTTCTAAAACATTTGCCCAAGAGGAAATGAACAGACTCTCTGCCTTCCTGTGCCCTTGGATGTGCTTGATGTAAATTCTGACGGTCCTATGCACATTTAGCTTTAGAATAGAACAGAACAGAACAGAACAGAGAACAGAGAACAGAACAGAACAGAATAGAATAGAATTTTTATTGGCCAAGTGTGATTGGACACACAAGGAATTTGTCTTGGTGCATACGCTCTCTGTACATAAAATAAAAGATACGTTCATCAAGAATCATAAGGTACAACACTTAATGATAGTCATAGGGTACAAATAAGCAATCGGGAAACAATATCAATATAAATCTTAAGGATACCAGCAACAAGATTACAGTCATAAGTGGAAGGAGATGGGTGATGGGAAAGATGAGACGATTAATAGTAGTACAGACTTAGTAAATAGTTTGACAGTGTTGAGGGAATTATTTGTTTAGCAGAGTGATGGTGTTCGGGAAAAAACTGTTCTTGTGTCTAGTTGTTCTGGTGTGTAGTGCTCTATAGCATTGTTCTGAGGGTAGGAGTTGAAACAGTTTATGTCCAGGATGCGAGGAGTCTGTAAATATTTTCACAGCCCTCTTTTTGACTCGTGCAGTATACAGGTCCTCAATGGAAGGCAGGTTGGTAGCAATTGTTTTTTCTGCAGTTCTAATTATCCTCTGAAGCCTGTGTCTGTCTCGTTGGATTGCAGAACCAAACCAGACAGTTATAGAGGTGCAAATGACAGACTCAATAATTCCTCTGTAGAACTGGATCAGCAGCTCCTTGGGCAGTTTGAGCTTCCTGAGTTGGCGCAGAAAGAACATTTCTGCTTATGCCAGGTTTTGAGCACTTGAAAGGATTTGGCAGAAATTTGGAACCAAAATTAATCTTGGAATTCACCATAGACTTAGAACAAGGTTTATATGGAACCCTGTGACTTATAAAAATTGGAGTCCATCTCAGGTCTGAGGGATGATTCTAAACCTGGTAAAAGGTTTAACCTGGTAAAAGAGATAAATCTTTTCTTACAGAGCTGTTAATTTCCTAACTCTCTTGGCTGAACTTAGAGTAACTAGGAAACCCATTTTCTCACCAAGAATGTTCATTGAAAACTGTTTAATGGACACAAGGGAACATGGTCGGTTCCTTGGAAACTGATGTAAAACCCAATGAAGATAATTCATTGGAGATGAAACTTGTGCCTTTAAGAAACCAGCACGCATAGGGCTGAAAGAAGCTCTCCCATTTGTCCAGAAGAATGAACCACAAGTCAGTATTCCACAGGATATTTGACAGCAGCTCCTTGCCTATCCAGCTTGAAGAAATCTCAGAAATTCCAGTTTCTTGTGTTATTTCTATAAATTTCCTTTTCTACACCACCATTCAAATATTGTTTCCTCTGATATAGCTTCCTTGTAGTGGGATTTCAAATCTCTGCTTTGATATGCTAGCAGAGAACCCATGCCTCCTCCAGATACAGTTTATAACCACTCTGGATCTGGCCCTTAGGCTTAGCAGATGTTTTGTGTTCACACATGCCTCAAAGGCCCTTGCCTCGTCTCCACTAAGATTGAATGCCATGACCTCCTGGGTTAGATTACTTTAATTCTTGAGCATCTTTATCTTGCATGCTGCCCTGGACAGGTTTGGTGTTGGCAAGATAATGTAGAGAAGGCCACCTTACATAATGTAGACAATATATTATTTCCCTCTTCTCTGTAGTCATAGAACTTGGGGGGGTGGGGGGGAACAGCTCGCCTGCTGTCACAAACAGATTGACAAAGATCTCTCCACCTTTCCTGGAGTTTATTGGATGTAGTATCCAATTGCAGAAATAAGAGGAAAAAGACCTTGAATGAAAGAGGCCAGATCCATTAGCAAAGTGATAAAAGGAAATGTTCTTGTTTTCAAAGAAAATGTTCCTCAAATTTATGCCATCAGGTCCCAAATGAATTCAATTCATGTATTCATTTTATTCCATGTGTAACTACCCATCTCATTGTTACGATGACTCTGGGTGGCTTCTAAAAGATAAATATTGGAACAATAAAAAATGTAAAAATTACTTTACAGCTAAGAAGAATGAAGGGCAAATTCACCGTGGAGTCCAAGGAACCAGCACTAGCACAGCCATTCTCCAATCCCACTAGTGTTCTCAAATCAGCCCTACCTTCACTCTTCCTGAATGTTGAATACCATATTATAGCGAATACAATACTGTGCTGTGAGCTGATCAGAGCTCCCTCTAGTGATGCTATAATAGATTTGCAAAGCTCATCAGCCAATACCAATACTCAATACAATGAGCTACAGCAGGTTCTATAATATGTAAAAAAAAATCCCTAATATCTACTATCCACGTTTTTATTCTGCAAAACACAAATTACATTAAAGGGCATCGCCCCATCCAATTTTACTGAAAACCAGAAGGTGGAAAGAATAATAGCAAAACAAAGCCCTGTGACTTTTACCTGAAAGTGAGAGAAACATAAAGGAAGCAGAAGGTGCCTGATGCACATCAATTTATGTATGCATGTACACTGCTCAAAAAAATAAAGGGAACACAAGCAGAAGACATCCGAGATCTCAATGAATGAAATAGCCTTATTAAATACTTTGTAAGGGTATTTCATTCATTCAGATCTCGGATGTCTTCTGCTTGTGTTCCCTTTATTTTTTTGAGCACTATATTTATTTATTTATTTATTTATTTATTTATTTATTTATTTATTTATTTATTTATTTATTTATTTATTTATTTATTTATTTATTTATTTATTTATTTTATTTCTATACCGCCCTTCTCCCGAAGGACTCAGGGCGGTGTACAGCCTGATTAAAAGCACAAAGACAGACAAAATTTAAAAATAATTAAAATTATTAAATGATAGGCTCAATTTAAAACCCCAAATTTCAAATCCCATTTTTAAAAACTCAATTTTATTACTTTCACAAGGTGGCGAACATGCACACCTTCCTCCTATTTTCCCAAGGACAACCCTGGGAGGTGAATTGAGCTGAGAGAGAAAGACTGGCCCACCAAGGTCATCCAGCTGGCTTTCATGGCTAAGGTGGGACTCGAATTCAGAGGACTCCTGGTTTCTAGCCTGGGGTTTAAAGCGAGGCGAGATCTCTTTTCCAATCAAGGGATGTTTCAGGGGAAAGAGAGAATAACTTTTTGCGGCCCCTCCCCAATAAACCATGTCTTGGTAGGAGCTGAGGGGGCAGCCACAGGATTCTCTCGGGGGTCCTTCAGCCAGTTCACAGACTGCCAGCCGTCCTGTCTCCCTGGGCCAAGGCAGCGGCTGGCTTTGGAAGGGCGGAGGGTGTCCTCGCAAGAAGGGCAGCGCTGCCCTTTGCCTTGCCCTATAATTGGCCGCTCTTCCTTTCCCGCCCTCCCTGGTAGAGCGTGGAGAGGGACCCAAAGCAGCCGCCAGGAACAGCCTGCAGTTGTTGCTGCTACCCCGCCTCTCCGTTCTGGCCCGGAGGAGCGAAGGCTCTGTCTGCCCGCGTTGGACTGTCTGTGTCCCTCCACCAACCAGGGACGGAGGGAGACTCGAGCTGCTGTGACCGGGCTACGAGCGGTGAGTGTTTCCGCTTTGGGGACGGCGGTGAGGACAGCTGAAGAATCGCGCGGGCGTGCAAAACAAACAGAAAAGCAAAACCGCCCGCCTTGGTTTGCACTTTGCAGGCATCGAAAAGTTCCCCGCTCTGGAAGAGGCCCCCTAATGCAGGGGTGTGGGCAACTGTGGCCCTTTTACAACTTGTGGACTTCAACTCCCAGAATTCCTGAAACAGCCAACCTTGGCTGTCTCAGGAATTCTGGGAGTTGAAGTCCACAGGTTGTAAAAGGGCCACAGTTGCCCACCCCTGCCCTAACGAATCAGTGGAGGAGTTGGGTGGGCCAGATGCTAGCCCCGCTCGCTGCCACACACCGGTCAGAGTGTCATTCTCGGCCCTGAGACTCTCTTGGGCAGCTTAATGTGGAAGTTTGCAAAATGCTTGGCTGGCCCACTAATTACTGGGGTTTTCCTCCACGCTGTCCCTCTGCTGGGGCTGCCAAAGTTGGAAGGACCAGCTCAGGAGAACCGTTGGGAGTTGAGTTCCAGTTGTTGGTTCAACTGTGAACCAACAATTCTACCAAATTGTCAGCTGGCTCTGATCTGCGCAGAGCGGGCCCAGGGTCCCTCCTGTCTAATTTGAAGGCTGTCTTGACAAGCATCTTAATCCCGGATTAATAAATGCAACTGCTGTATCCTCAGCACACGGTCTGTCCAAAGCAGTGAGCTACATAATGTGAGCTACATGAGACCGGAATCACATAATGCGTCGATTGGAACCGCGCTAACCATTTTAACCAAGTTGTGGGAACCCACTCAAGATTTTCGAGCAAGAAAAGAGTTTCACAGAATCGGTCTGATGAGAGACTGGGGACGTGGGTCTGTTTGAAGGAGGTGATTCATACAGCACAAAGACAGTTGAATTCAATGTGAGAGGCAGCCTCCCAAGCTATATCATTCAGAATGAGTTGTAGGTGCTGGTTGTCCAGCTCGCAAAATCTGTAACTCTCAGAACCAGTTATGGGAGAACACTCTGGTCTTGCCCTGTCTCCTCTCTGCATCTGTTCTTAAAGAGAAGCACTTTTGTTTTGAGGCTATTGTTGCTGGACTTCAGCTACCAAAGGCCAAGCATATACAGGCAGTCCTTGACAGTTCATTTAGTGACTGTTCAAAGTTACAATGGTACTGAAAAAAGAGGATCATTTTTCACACTTACATCGCAGCATCCCTGTAGTCACATCAAAATTCAGATACTTGGCAACTGGTTCATATATGATGATTGCAGTGTCCTGGGCTCATGTGATCATGTTTTGCAACCTTTTGACATGCAATGGGGAAACCAGATTCACTTAACCGTGTTACTAAATTAACAACTGCAGTGATTCACTTAACAATTGTGGCAAGAAAGGTCATCAAATGAAGCAAAACTCACTTGAGAAATGTCTCACTTAGCAACTGAAAATTTGGGCTCTATTGTGGTTGTAAGTCGAGGAATACCTATACTTCTTAGCCCAGCCAGTCGATTTATCCCTTTGATTAAAAAGAAATTAGTCCTGAGCTTGCAAAGAGCTGTTCCAAGCAAAAAAACTGATAAGCTAATATCATGGAAACTCTTAATTGTCAATCATTGCCAAAGACCAAACTATCAAAGCCAGTCACGTGTTATCACAGATTGGCTTATACATTATGCTTAAATTAGCTACTGAAGTAATTCATTTTCTGAGCTGACGTGTTGAAACATAAATTAACTAGATAGACGGAATTTGCACAGCAGACTGAGTCACCCAAAAAGCTAATCCAAATTAACAGCAATCAACGTTATCTTACTGTGTGATTGCAACTGTACAGTCTTTCACTGAGCCAATCATGAATGTTGTGCAAACTCAGCCAGAGATTAATGCGCTGTTCATTTCAATGATATTTGGGGAAATAAGCAAAAGGATGAGTCCTTGTAAAGCTTATAAAGAGAAGGAGCTCAATATGGACAATATTAGTGCTGGCATGGAACCCGAACTCTTCAGGAGGGAGAGACAGGTGAGGTTAAGCAAAGCAGGAGAATGCCATCCCACCTTAGTGGGATGAAGAACTTGAGGCTCTGCCTAGGCCAGTGTTTCTCAGCCTTGGCAGCTTGAAGATGTGTGGATTTAAACTCCCAGAATTCCCCAGCCAGCAAATATGGAAAGACTCAAAAGCAGCTGAAAGGGCTTATTTGATTTCTCACTGCCTACACAGTGTACCAAAGATCAATGCTTTGAATGGAGGAATTCTCATGTTGCAACTATAAATTGCTTCCAGAGGTTAATTTATTTATCTTTTTTTTCCAATGTCTTGGTCTTTTCCCAGTTTTTCCCTTGCAGTTTTATTGGTGAAAGAACAAAGTCAAAGGGGAGAGGAAAAGAATAAAGTCAAAGAGGAAAGCAAGTAAACATGATGAGGCACATCCAGTTAATCCACAAGCTAACTATTTAATCATCACCATGTTGGCTTGTCCCTTTCAGAAACGAGGTACAAAGGGCAATGGTAATGCTAGGTGGAGGGGATTGGAAGCAACTCTTATTCCTACAACCCTAAAAGCACAGTTACCTGTTAGAAGAGACACAGCTTAGCTCTATGTACTTATGCAACAAACATATATTCAGAGGTGAAGTTCTGAATTATTTTTGATGCGCTTTTCATCAGCTTAGCATCAGCCACAGCAATGGAGCTATTGGAACGATGCTTTGCATCTTGCTTTTTTTGTTTACCTTTCTTAGATTAAGTACCGTTACTCATTCCTAGGAACACTACAGTGTTTCTATCCCAGACTAATTCTATTTGTTTTATAGAAAATCTCAAGGCCTGTTATGAAACAGACTCTTCTTTTTCCTTAGTTTTTATTACACACACTTGACAGAGAATTCTGAGTTTATTACATTTTAGTTAAATACAACCAAGCAGACTTCTGGTCCCTGCATATTGTATATTCCAATAATTCGAAATGATTGTTGTCTCAGGAATAGCAACAGAGTTGGGTGTAGGGCTCCATGGTTTGAGATCTTGTCTCTTTCTGGGAATATGACCTCTTCCTATACTCAAATATCTCATCTATTTCTCCCTTCCGGTTAATTCTTAACAAATTACTCTCTAAAGCCCCAAGTTTTGCCAAAACCAGTTATTCCAATAATGAGCTTTTGGACTTTTGAGTGTGGTGACTGTTCTGTCTTATCCCGTGGCATCAAAGGGAAGTCTGCCTGCCCGAGTTTCTTCAATCAACATCACTGGAGGGTTCATTTGCAACGCTTATTGTAGGTATCTTCTACTTTCCCCCTGCAGACCCTTTTTGCAAAATGGTGCCAACAAAACTGCGTGTGGCAGTAATTGGGGCAGGAGCGGCAGGACTGTGTGCCGCCCGGCACATCCTTGCCTCTTCTGAGACCTTTGCTCCACCCGTGGTATTTGAGTCCTCGGATCGCTTGGGAGGCACCTGGATTTACACAGAGGAGAAAGAAGATGCCACGGGAAGAATCATCCATTCCAGCATGTACCGTGACCTCAGGTAGTCACTCAAGGGCGTGGCAGCTTCTCTGTGCTTCGGGATGGGCGCTTTATGCCAATGTCTACCAGTGTATTAGAAAGCATAGGAGGAGGCCTCAGACAGCTATTCTTTAAATACAAAAAAAAAAAAAAAAGGAGTCTGAGCAGGGGAGAGGAGTGGAATGCAATGCAGAAAGGGTGCTTTATCCTGCTTCTGTCCTTAGGACCAACCTGCCCAAGGAATCAATGGCCTTTCCAGATTTCCCCTTTGATCCATCACTGCCTTCATTCCTGCACCACTCGGATGTTCTGGCCTACCTGGATAGCTATGCAGAGCAGTCTGGAGTCTGCGATCATATCAGGGTGAGAGATGATGGGGCTGTTAGCAGCAGAGAGTGGCAGAGCAAAAAGAGGCATGTGCTCCCTGGTGGGGGTGTGGCGGGGATGGGAGAAACGGGAGCACAATAAGTTGCCAAGGTTTGCCTCTAGGTCTTTCAATGCAATACAGAGTAAATGCTGCATCTGTTTATGTAATTATTATGATTGATCACACAATCAGCCAGATGTTTAGAAGGGATTTGGCCTTTTTATAACTTATCAAACCCTTCCCAAGGAGCTGAAATTATTATTGTTATCCTGAGATAGGTAGATATGGATGGAAGAGAGGGAAGGAGGGAGTGGGAGAGAGAGATAGAGAGTGTCAACTTATGATAGCAAACATATGTAATACTCCTGCCTCCTATTTTCCCCAACAACAACCCTCTGAAATGGACTGGGGTGTGAGAGAGTAAATGGTCTCCCAGCTGGCTTTCATGTCAAAGGGAGGCATATAAGTCACAGTGTCCTGGTTTTTGGCCTAACACCTTCACCACTACACCATTAGTTTTGCTCCAGAATAATCACTGCTTACAGACCAGAGCTAGCTGGTTTCTGGAACTCATCTGTTCTCTTCCATTTTGCTTCACCAGTTCCAATGGCAAGTGGAGGAGGTCAGGCCTATCCAGAGGGATTCAGGCAGCCTAGATGCCTGGGAAATCACAGCAACAGTGCAGCACCCGGAATCAACTCAGCAAGTCACAGAGCACTTTGATGCCATCATGGTCTGCACTGGGTGAGTCCTAGTTGATCCAAATTCCTTGTGTGTCCAATCACACTTGGCCAATAAAAAATTATATTCTATTCTATCTGGGATGGTGCTTTTGATAAAAAGAGAAAGAGCAATAAATTAGTTGTTTCCAAGTTTAACTTCCAAATGTGAAGTTATTGCTGTTATTGTCATTGCTTTGTGGACAGCTGAAAATTCAAAGATAGAGTGTAGATGACTAATCTCATGATTAGATTAGCACAATCACGTTAGAATGAATGAAAGACCAGGCAAATCATTTGATGCTTTTGTAAATCAAATAAGAAAAGGGGAATACACTCTAATGCTTGACATGTCTCTGTTCTCCAACTTCCATGCTAATAGTTTTATTTCTGCAGCCATTACACTGTCCCATTTATACCTCCCATTCCTGGGTTGGACACTTTCCAAGGTAAGCTTTAAAGTTTAAACCTTCCTTTCTCTTTAGAGACAAGGGTGAACTTGGCTGGATCAGGCTAAAACCATCAGGTTCAGCATTTTACTTCCCCATCATCCAGGCAACTGAAATAGTCTAGACTCTAGAGACTTATTTGATAGACAATTTACTTATTGCACTGTTCAACTAGGGACTTCTGAAAAATACCCAACCAGAACAAGAAGGCAGTAGCCTTTTTTTCTGGTGTTGTTCCCTTACCACTGTTGTTTAGATATAAGCTGCCTCTAAATGTTGATGTTTCATATAGCACAGCCCAGTGCCTAATAGCCAATAATACATGCATCTGTCATGAATGTGCTTGATCTTATTTAAAGCCAATGGCCACCCTCATGTCTTAAGCAACCAATTCCATGAGCTTAGTTCTGCCTTGCATATTCATGCTTCGATCATGGACTTTTTTGTGTGATCAGTTTGTTTGGTTTTTTTGTTGCAGTGCAGAGTTACACCAGACAACCATTTTAAAAAGGCCATCTTTATCTTAAAAATTGTTTTAAATTTATTATGCTACATAATACTTTTTTTATACATTGTTACCATAAGCTGCCCTGTCTGAGTGAATGCAGAGAATGTAAAGTTTCTACTTCAGGGCCCAGAATTGTTACATAGTTGAATAGCTCATTTATAAAAGAATAAGTAAAGAAGCAAACTGCTCCTTTGCCCTTTAATGGAAAGCCTTAAATTCTATGTTTGCAACCAAACAGCAAGCAGTAACCCCTCATCCTTGTTGTATCTCAATGCCTCCTGGAAGTGCCACAGGCATTTTACCAGACTTGGATTTCAAAAACAAGAACCAAGAGGAGGAAATTAAATGAAAGCCATTTAGCTTCCAAAAATTGAATACAATGCTCCAGAGACAGCGCACAGAGCCTACTTAAGTTCTGGGAATAGGCCAGGAGGAACACTTCAAGAGAAGGAAGTTCCCATAGACCTCTGACTGAGAGTACCCAAGTATCCAAAGGGCATGATAAGAAGGAGAAGAAGTTAAAAATGTATCTTGTAGGCTGCATCCATTTAACAAGATCAGACAAAGATATAGCAAATACCTTTGCACAACCCATAACCTGTATCTTACAGCCAACAGAGTCAAATCCAGATATTTAATTACTGCTAACTTGAGTTTTTTGTGGTTTAGCATCGAGTGTAAATTCAATTTATTTGGTGACTCTATAGCAATAGCACTTAGACTTATATACCGCTTCATAGTAATTTACAGCCCTCTCTAAGCAGTTTATAGAGTCAGCATATTGCCCCCAACAATCTGGGTCCTCATTTATAGTTCCAGTGTATTCGGCAGACCCAGAGAAAGGGTTAATTCAGTAATCAAGTTAAGCACGTCTTGTGAAGGAAGTCAGAACCTCCCTATTTTGCGGGGGATTGCAGCATTGTTGGTTTCTAGTTTCTGCCCTTCTGTTCTAAAGAGATCAAGTGAGCAAAGTCACTTTCATCATGTACCACCTCATCAAAGCACCCACAGGTAAGGCAAATTAGCAAAAAGGTTCAGGCAAGAGGAAAGTAGAATAGTGCCAGCCTTTTTGAGGTAGTCCAGAAAAAGAAGCACAAAGCATGATTACTATTATTACTTTTATTGTAAGAGCAAGGGAAGTGGTGGATCAGTGGCTAAGACACTGAACTTGTTGATTGAAAGGTCGGCAGTTCAGCGATTCAAATCCCTAGTGCCGCGGGGTGAGCTCCCATTACTTGTCCCAGCTTCTGCCAACCTAGCAGTTTGAAAGCACGTAAAAAAAAAAGGCAAGTAGAAAAATAGGGACCACCTTTGGTGGGAAGGTAACAGCATTCTGTGCATCTTTGGCATTTAGTCATGCCAGCCACATGACCAGGGAATTGTCATCAGACAGCACTGGCTCTTTGGCTTTGAAGCGGAGATGAGCACCGCTCCCTAGAGTTGGGAACAATTAGCATATGTGTGTGAGGGGAACCTTTACCATTTTAAAGCTTAGAGTAACAGTCTTGCATTGCTCCCTTCTTTTAACATCTACTTTCCAGAAAACTAGAGAGGGTCCCTTCTGAGAAGTTTCCCTTGCCCCTTTTCCTTCTGTGGGCTGAGATACCTTTTCCGTGGTAATTGGCTAGTCTTTTGGCTGTTCCTCTTGTCTCCTAGGGTCATTCCCCCATACCATTACATGGAGACAGAGCAATAGGCACATAAGGTTACAATGGATATGCATTGTAACCTCTGCAAGAATGCCTGTGATGAGGTGGAAGCTATTGCTTGCCTTGCCAACATTTTCTCTCTCTCTCTCTCCCCAGGCCGTCTTCTACACAGCCACTCTTACCGCTATCCAGAGCCCTTTGCCAACCAATCTGTAGTGCTGGTAGGCGCTGGTCCGTCAGGAGTTGACCTGGCCTTGCAACTCTCCAATGTAGCTGCTCAAGTAGTGCTCAGCCATAAAAGGCAACATGTGTGTGGGCTGCCCAAGGATGTGATACAGGTGCCCCCACTTCTGAAGGTGGAGCAAAAGACGGTGGTATTCACAGATGGTTCCAAGATGCCAGCTGATGTCTTGATTCTTTGTACAGGCTACAAGTACAGCTTCCCCTTCTTGGACTTGGCCCAGTTGGGTTTACAAGAGACAGATTATGGAGTGGGGCCGCTGTACCAGCATTTACTGCCCCCCCAGCACCCGTCGCTCTTCTTGATCGGCCTTTGTCAGCAGATCTGTCCTTTCCCACACTTCTACTGCCAGGTGCTATTTGCGCTGGCTGTGCTAAGTGGGCGCTGTGCCCTCCCTTCTGTGACCGATATGGAGGCTGAAGTCCAAAGACAGCTGGGACTACATTTGAAGAATGGAGGGTTGGCCCGGTACTTCCTGAAGATGAGGGAACAGCAGTGGAGCTATATGGAGGACCTAGCTCACCTTGCTGGATTCCCACCTGTGCCACCTACTGTCCAACAAATTTATGAAGATACCCATGCCAGCCGTCTCTGCAATGTGAGCACCTATCGTAGCAGAAACTATCGGCTATTGGGCCCAAGTGCTTGGGAGTTGGTGCAGGATGGGGTGAGAATTGCATAAAGCCTGGAGATGCAAAATAAGGACCCTTCGTTCATCCTTCTCTCTTCCTCTGTGTGGTTTTCCTTCTAAGGCCCAACTGCAGTCAGGGGGAGTTGGGCCAAGAATTGGTGGGTGAGATAGAGAAAGAACCAAGTCCTCCCATGGCATCATTGAAATACAAGCAAGAAACTTGAAGCAGATCATAATGTATGAAAATAATAATAATGAAAAATAATGTTTATTCCATCTGTAAAAGAAAGGGGGGCTAGATTCACACAACATGCTTAATCCTAAACCAGGTTTTATTAAAAAAACAACAACCCACAGTTGGTCTGTCTACGTGGCTCTCTATAGCCAAACTAACAAACTGACAAAGTTAAGTAACAACCTAGTTTAGGAGCATCCACCCAGGAGCATGTTAAAAAAAAAGTCAGGAGGAAAACTGCAACTGTGGCTAGTTTGATTGGTTTTGCACAGCTAACCAATCCCAGTTTTGATTAGTACCCTATGATGTAACCTCTAACTACAGAGTGTCCAGCTCAAGCTTTCTGGTGTGCTGTGTGACTGGGTGAAGCTAGAAAGCCAGGTTTCCTTAATTAACAACTCTTTTTGACTGTGCATCACACTTTATAATCTACACTGCTTATCACAGTTGGGAAAATATCTGCCCTTTGTGTGCCATGTAAATAATTAAAAATAATGAGAACCTGATTCCAATGAGAATGAGGAAAAAAAATCCAGTAAGCTCCAGTCCTTAATCTAAGTTTCCTTTGGTTCAACACAGAGAGAGGAAGCATAGGAGGGAAGAGGCAGATCACAGCTAGTGTTTTATACCAATCTGTTTTCTTATATTTGCGCTATATATATCTTTGAAAGAAATGAATGGAAATTCACAATGGTGTTTTAATTTGGGAGCTAGAGACTTCTGGTGATGTCCAATTGAGGGGACAAAAAAATAAACCAAAATTGTAATCTATCTGAAATGAATGCATTTCATATTTTAACCAATTCCTGTTTCAAAAGACCTTAGAGCCATTACAAAATACTTTTAATTAAAAAAGAGAAAAATGTATCTGGGCTAGGTTCACACAAGTTCCTGGTTACTGAACTGAATCATTTCTGGATTTGCACCAAACAGTACCCAACTGTAAACTAACCACATGTGAGGGCTTTCTATACCATGGTAAGCCATGGAAAATTAATGGTTTCACAATAGCCAAGCTTAGCAATGTTATGCAAATGAAGCTCCAAGATCTTTAACAGACCTCATTAAGCCAGTATACAAATACAAACATTGTCTGAGCTTTTGTGAAACTTGTCCTTTGCGGTCATGCATGGACAAGGTTGTTTATCCTGTACGAAGAAAAGAGAAAGAACATCAGTGGCAATATTAAAAGAAGTCAAGTGTCTTTTGTATTATGCTTGAGCCCCGGTCCCTAGTTAGTTTTTGACTAAAAATGTGGAGTTGCTTTTCTATTGTGATCTGCTAGGACAGTTTCCCATTTCCAGTTCATAATTTATAGCCCTAGAATTCCCTGGTGATTGTCTACCCATGTATTAACAAGTCCTGGCCCTGTTCACTTCCCAGTAAATTTTCTGGTGATCTTCCACTTATTCTTTAACAAGGCCTGGCCCTGTTTCACTTCCCAGTTTGGATAAGACTAGCCAGCATTTTCTGAATACTTAACACAGTGTTTCTCAACCTTAGCAACTTTAAGATGTGTGAATTTCAAATCCCAGAGCTCTTTTCCAGGCTGGAGAACTTTGGGAATTGAAGTCCTCACATTTTAAAGTTGCCAAACACTGACTTAAATACATAGCCAGCACTAAAGGTAAAGGTTCCCCTTGCACATATGTGCTAGTTGTTCCTGACTCTAGGGGGCGGTGTTCATCTCCGTTTCAAAGCCGAAGAGCCAGCGCTGTCCGAAGATGTCTCTGTGGTCATGTGGCCGGCATGACTAAACACCAAAGGTGCATGGAACACTGTTACCATCCCACCAAAGGTGGTCCCTATTTTTCTACTTGCATTTTTTACGTGCTTTCGAACTGTTAGGTTGGCAGAAGCTGGGACAAGTAACGGGAGCTCACCCCATTACGCGGCGCAAGGGATTCGAACTGCTGAACTGCCGACCTTTCAATCGACAAGCTCAGCTTCTTAGCCACTGAGCCACTACACCCTTTCATAGCCAGCACTACTGTGGCCTTAATGAGAGTCACTATTTCAGTCCATTTGTCCGTGTGCATGCATTCACATGAATGCAAAATGACAAAAAGTAAATTGTCCTTCATGCCTGATGACTTACCTGAAAACATCCATGCACCTCTTTGGCACAACAGTGGGTTCCACAGTAATGCCAGAAAGCAGTCTATAGAGCTCATCTGGCTTTTGATGAATAGGAGTTTACAAACTCTACCCATTACAAGCAGCTACTTTTGCAAATGGAGATACCACAAAGCAACTGCTGTGTGTATCCATTATATGTTCTCAACTTTTCCCTTAACCCAAAAATTATCTATTCTTGATTTAAAAGCTCCAGCCCTTCTCTACTTCCCTAATACAATTTTTTTTAAAAAAAATTGGAAGCCATTGTCTGCCTTCGACCTTACTTCCAAATTTGACATCCAGGTTCATATCTCAAGTGTATGATAAAAAGAAAAACCTTAAGGTTTTTATTATTCCAATGACATGTACTGAATTCCATTTACAATGCTTTAAACTGAAATGAGTCAGTCTTTCTGGTCATTTCATCTTCCATATATGTGAAGGCAGTCAATCTTCCATGCATTAGAGATACACAATGATTTATTGTGTAGGCAGTTTACTTTATCCTCTACAAACATTCGGTTTGGGGGAAAATGTTATTAGAGCCAGAAAACACTTTGGCAATTTCCGTGAGAGATGCTGAGTGCAGGATAGTGGAAGCAAATCATGTACCTAAACCAAGAACATCTGCGGGTATATAGTCAGCACATGAAACCAGGCCCCCTCCAGCCCATGGAAAAACCTCCCTCCATGGAACCGGTCCCTGGTACTCAAAAGATTGGGGGCCTGTAATCGAGCACCAAGCTTGAGAAAAGCATAGCAAGGTCTCTCTCTAATTAAGCCATGAAAATGTAGTGCTGGATTTAAACTGTATTAGAACCTAAGAGGGAACTGCACTGTTATATTTGGACTTGGCATGGGCACTCACTTTGTGTTTGTTGGCTTCTCCTTATAAAGGAATCACTCCTTTTCCAAAACTTGAATGGAAGAAAATGCTAATTTGAGCTACTATGTCAGAGGTCCGCAACCCCACTCCCCCGGCAGTGATGAAATGTAAAACTTGTTACTACCGGTTCTGTGGGCGTGGCTTGGTGGTGGGGGTAATGTGACTGGGTGGGCGTGGCCATTTTTTAAAACTTTTAAAACCATTTTTTCTACAACCTTTGGCTGAAGAGGTTGTAAAAAATGCTTTTAAAGCCTCTGACGATCCCAGCTGAGCCGCCTGATCATCAGAGGCTTTTTTTTTTTTACTTTTAAAAGCATTTTTTTGGCCAAAGAGGTTGTAGAAAAAATGCTTTTAAAAATTTAAGAAAAGCCTCTGATGATTGCGCGGCTCAGCTGGGCAAGGTTGGGGGGCAGGGATTTTTGCTACCAGTTCTCCAAACCACCTGTCTCCAATCGCTACCAGATCGGGCGATCTAGTCCGAACCGGGAGCATTTCACCCCTGCCCCCCGGGCAGCAGGCCAGTACCAGGCCACTTCCCTTTCGGAAAGGGCTGGGGGAGGGGGGGGGGGGGGCGGGGAAGTGCATTTATGCATGCAGTCTACTTGTGTGAGCAGCGGGAGAGCATGCATACATACAAAGCTCCATTTGTGTGAGCGGCAGTGGTGTGTGCCTCCCGCTTGCGCAAATGGGGCTGCACGCACACATGCCCGCCTGCTGCTCGTGTAGAATACCATCCCCTCTCTCCCTACCGGTCCACAAAGCCATAAAGATTGGGGACCCCTGCACTGCGTTACAGATAATCCTCAACTTACAACCATTCATTTAGCGACTGTTCAAAGTTACAACAGCACTGAAAAAAGTGACTTGTGACCGATCCCTGCACTTAACAACCATTGCAGCATCGCCTTAGTGACGTGATCAAAATTCAGGCACTTGGCAACTGGCATGTATTTACAAAGGTTGCAGCAGTGGTGAAATCTAAAATTTGTTACTACCGGTTCTGTGGGCAGGGCTTGGTGGGGGGGGGTAATGTAAATTGAGGACCCAGTTTGTGGGGGCAATAGGATGACTTTGTATAAATATACAAAAGTATGAAGGCTATTGCTTAACGCATTGTAAGCCGCCCTGAGTCTCCGGAGAAGGGCGGCATATAAATCAAATTAAAAAAAAAAAAAGTGACTGGGTGGACGTGGCCAATTTTTTTTTCTTTTAAAACCATTTTTTCTACAACCTCTTCGGCAAAGAGGCTGTAAAAAAATGCTTTCAAAAGGCTCTGATGATCCAAGCTGAGTTGCCTGATCGGCAGAGACTTTTTTTCTTTTAAAAGCCTCTGCCGATCAGGCAACTCAGCTGGGATCATCAGAGCCTTTTGAAAGCATTTTTTTACAACTTTGCCGAAGAGGTTGTAGAAAAAATGGTTTTAAAAGTCTTTGACGATCCCAGCTGAGCCGCACGATCATGAGAGGCTTTTTATTTACTTTTAAAAGCATTTTTTTTGCTGAAGAGGTTGTAGAAAAAATGCTTTTAAAAATTAAAAGAAAAAGCCTCTGATGATTGTGCGGCTCAGCTGGGCATGGGGGGGGCAGGGATTTTTTCCTACCGGTTCTCCGAACCACCCGCCTCCATCGCTATCGATAGGGTGATCCGGTCCGAAGCGGAAGCATTTCACCCCTGGGTTGTAGCAATCCGAGGTGATATCATCACCATTTGTGACTTTCCCAGACAGCTTCTGACAAAGTCAATCCAGAAAGCTGAATTCAATTAATGACTGCCTGATTCTCTTAATTGCAGTGATTCACTTAACAACCATGGCAAGAAAAAATATCATAAAATTGGGTGTGACTCACTAACAACTGCCTTGGCAATGGAAATTCAGGTCATAATTATGGTCGTAAGTCAAGGATTACCTGCAAACCCCCCCCCCATGTGTCTTTAACTCAAAACAGTTGAAGAGCCCTTTTCCTGAGCCCTTTCTGCCAGGGTGCAAGCCTTGGAAAAGGCAGAGCTTGTTTAAAGGATCAGCGAGGCGAAAGAGGATGCCCATGAAGATTCAGTACACTGTTTTGCTTCAGATCTGAACCCCATGCCCTTCCAAGGACAAACAATTACTTGAAATGGCTTCATTCAAGCCTGAAACAAGGATCCTTATCTAGCTATACCATAGTCAAGTGTTTGGGAAACTTTTGCCAGGTTTGTTTATTCATCGAATTTACATTTATTGACTGCCCAACTCCAGTGGACTCCCCAATTTGAACTTTATAATTTTCCAAGGAAAGAGCGAACTTCACCAATCTGTTGTTGAATCGGAATATTGTCCTGGAATTCTTATCTGAGCGATGTAATTATACCCGACTACCTGTAAAAGGGCAAATCCTTGGTTGGAAAAGCAGGTTGTCCTGCTCCAGTGGCCTCTTCCTCCTTCAAGATGTAGGAGGGGATTGTGCTTCCAAGGACTGGCTAGGCAACATTATTCCTTCCACATAGTCACTGTGGGAAGCCCTGGTCCTAAGAAAGGGCTCTAGGGGTACTTGACGTTGGAAGGTCTCAGTGGTAAAATAATAAACCAGAGGATCTAGGGCAGCATTCACACAGGACAGGAGCAGGACATATTTGTACGCCAGATCTAATGAAGGCGTTTCATTCAACCATGGTACAAGATAGCATAGTACTGTCAAATGGTAGGGTAAGAAGCAACCCAGAAAGATGGCCACATTCGTTACTACCATTAATCTGATCTTGGATATATTGATCAGCTCCATCTCCACGCTTACGCTCCGGTGGAAAACATGGAGCAGACTATAGGAGGAAGTTACCATGACAGCCAATGTAATGGCATAGCATAGCACCATAGTACTGGAAATACCAACGTTCGTGATATAGTGAGGATGTTCATCAAAACAGAGAGTGCTGTTTTTGGGAGTATTCTTGCCAGCAAAGTATGTGGGAATGGTTCCCCCAATACTCAAGGTCCATATACCTACACAGATGTACTTGGCTTGTCTGCGTATGGCCTGTGACCACAAGCTGAGTGGAAAGCGCACAGCCATCCAACGGTCTGAACTGATGCAAGTCAGAAAGAAGATGCTGCCATACATGTTAACCAAGAGCAGCAGGCCTCCCATTTCACATGTGGTTTGAGATAGCTGGGGTTGCCAGCCATAGTAGTATATCCTCAGAGGCATTGACGCCAACAGCAGAAGATCGCAGACTGCTAGGTTCTTCATGTAGACGGTGGTGATGGAGCGGACAACATCTCTGAAGATAAAAATGTACAGAGCTGTAGAGTTCAGCAGGAGGCCTATCATAAAGATTAGTGAGTAGCTGCTGGCAAAGACCAGATCATGTACCCTGGCACAGTTGTGGCACTTGCTGGAATTCATCTTTAAATGTCTAGCAGCAGATCCACACTTTGCAGTCTTTTAAAATTTCATATATCCTGGCTAGCAGGAACCAGGTGACGCCTTCCTCCTAGTTAAAAAAAAAAATAAAAATAGACATTTGCAATTTATATTTGTGAGACTACAGTTGCCAGGGTCAGATATTTATTTTTCATATACTCTCTGTGTGAGGCACTTTACAAAGTTCCATAAAATATATCATTGCCCCTAGGGTTTCAGTCTAAAGTTCCATACAAGCAGATCTTTCCTGACTTATAAATATTAGGGTTTTTTTTCTCATTCTGCCTGCTTAAATCCAGTCTATTTAAAGCTAAGCTCCCTGTAGCCTTACTCATGTAACAATATTGGGGCTCAGTGGTAGGTTTCAAATTTTTTTACTACCTGTTCTGGGGGTGTGGCTTGGGGGCATGGCATGGCTTGGTGGGAGTGGCTTGGTGGGCGTGGCAGGGGAAGGATACTGTAAAATCTCCATTCCTACCCCACTCCTGGGGGAAGGATATTGCAAAATCTCCATTCCCACCCCACTCTGGGGCCAACCAGTGTGGTATTTGCTGGTTCTCCGAACTACTCAAAATTTCCGCTACTGGTTCTCCAGAACTGGTCAGAACCTGCTGAAACCCTTGTACCAAAGAGCCTTGGTAGTACAGTGGTTTAAAGCACCCTGTTATTAAGTCCAGCTGCCTGCAATTACAGCAGGTTCGAATCTCGCCAGGCTCAAGGTTGACTCAGCCTTCCATCCTTTCTAAGGTAGGTAAATTGAGAACCCAGTTGTGGGGGCAATAAGCTGACTTTGTATAAATATACAAAAGGATGAAGGCTATTGCTTAGCACATTGTAAGCCGCCCTGAGTCTCCGGAGGAGGGCGGCATATAAATCAAATTAAAAAAAAAAAAACCACCTCTGCTGGGGCTAAGGACAATCAATTTTGTGCAATTTATGAGAAATTCAACCGAGGTTTCAAGGTGGAACTCTTGTTCCAAAATAATGGTTTTTCTTAGTCATTCCCCCACTGCACTTTTTAGGCTTTACTTCTGACACCTGAACAGTCTTTGGACTCCTTAAAACAAACCCTCTAAACTTCACCGATCAGACAGGAAGCTGTGGCGTTGTAAATGGAAATTTAGCTAACTGCCATTAGATTTTAAGGGCAAAGTTCAGCATAGACCAAATCTTTCTGCTGCAGAATGGTGCAGAGGAAGAAGTTGGCCAGAGGTGGCATTTAACATAGCAAGGAAGGAAGGAGAGGAAAAAGAAAGTGAATAGTTAAAGAAATTTAACTATTAGGAAGCAGCAGTAAACAATAAATATTCATATAGTCTGACAAAGAATCAGAGGCCAATCTAAGTTTATGGTCCCTGATCTATAAAGCAGGGAGAAGCCAAGGAAATGCCTGGTTTTAGTTCTATCTCATGAAAGCAGTAAAACTTACATATTCTGGGGCTGAGATCTTGCAAAGGGACCTGGACACCCACACATTGCAGCCAGAATTTCTCAGTGGGTAGCTAGATCAGAAACACCTGAATTCTTTAGCTGATGTAGAATATGCCAAGAAGTTTCTTGCAAAGATGCAACAGAAGAAGGTAATGGGGTTTAACCGCCACAGCCCCATAAAGTTGGCTAGCCAATTGGTCCATCATATTTGGTGAATAAATTCAATAGGGTTCACCTATCTTGAATTTTCTCCCCGACCTTCACTTTTTTTTTTTTAATATATAATTTTTATTAATATATTCTATACACTAATACACAAATAAAATATACAATCCTGCCACCATGGTATAATATGATTACATTGTCCATAAGTATAAAATCATTCCTTTATACATACATATTTGCCATCATATATATACATCATCATATGTCTATTCTATCCCACCTTTTCTGGACCCAATCGTACCATACTTTCCAACTGTTATAAAATTCTGAATCTTTTTTACCATTGATCAATCTAGTTAGTCTATCTGATTCCGCACACTCATTAATTTTATATATTATTTTCAAATCTATCGGTAAGTATTGATTTTTCCACTCCTGCGCATACGCTAATCTTGCTGCAGTGATAATGTGAATCAACAAGAACCATATATCTGACTTAACATTCAAAGGTTTTGCCCCCAATAGGAAAATCTCAGGTCTTAATTCCAAATTAATCTGTGTAATTTCCAAAATCCATTGCCGTATTTTTTTCCAATATTTAACCGCCTGCGGGCAGGTCCACCATTGGTGAAAATAGGTTCCATTGCTGTAACCACACTTCCAACAGCAGGCAGATGTCCCGGGAAACATTTTAGCTAATCTCGCCGGGGGTAGATGCCACCGGTAGATCATTTTATATATGTTTTCTTTATATGAGGAGGCCATGGTTAATTTCATATTTTTCAACCAAATCTGTTCCCATTGCTGGAAGTCAAGGGGATATCCAAAATTTCGCCCCCATGCTATCATACAATCCTTCACTACATCCTGTCCTATCTGCAGAGACAATAAATATGCATAACATTTATATCCCCAACCTTCACTTAATCACAGTAAAAAATAGGAACTCTATTTTTTATCTATTTTACTCATAACTCTATTTTATCCAAACTTGAGTGCAGAAAATATGACTTCAGTAACAGAGTGGTCAATGCCTGGAATGCACTACCTGACTCTCTAGTTTCTTCTCCAAACCCCCAAAACTTTAACCTTAGACTGTCTACTGTTGACCTCACCCCATTCCTAAGAGGTCTGTAAGGGGCGTGCATAAGCGCACCAGCGTGCCTACTGTCCCTGTCCTAATATTCCTTTTTACTTACTCTTTCCATGTATTCAAATTATATTTATACTTTACCTGTTATCTTATATATGCTTGACAAATAAACGTATGATTATGATGTGATGATTATGATTATTCCCATTCTTCAGATAATTTGGAAGACTTTTAAAATCCAAAACTTCAAGCAGCTTTTCAAAACAGCCATATGTTTTGGGTGCCATTGCATGACTTTTAATTATAAAACTTATCGGTTTTCACTTCATATGTTCAGGTAGAAACTGGTTAGAAAATTGGTTTGATTTATAAGCCCTCAGTTACCACCCCAGGTGTTGTATATTATTGTAAGTTAAAGCATTCAGTTTATAGTGAACAAATTTGATGGGCATTTCAAGTTTAAACAACATTTCAGGTTTTTAAGAAGAGATCAGACAGCCATTTGTCTGGAATGGTATAGGGCAGTAATAGTTAACCTTTTCTGGACTGAGTGGCCAAAGCGCGTGCACGCACGCACAATGCGCAATGCGCGGCCAAACCCCCAAAATGCAATGCGCACGTGGCCCCCGTGCATGCCCCCTCCCCCTGCACATGCATGCCCCCACACGCTCCCTACCCTCCCACATATGCGCACATGACACCCCCGCATGCCCCACCCCGTACATGCACGTGTGCCTCCCCCACATGCCCCCCCTGCGCATGTGCATGTGGCCTTAATGTGAATAAATAATGTGATTCCTATCATACAGAGTCAGCTACATGAACTCTAAAGGACCCTCTCTATTCACATTATTATAAGAGAGAAACGTGCTGGTTGGAGATTACATTAAAATCATTAGTGGTAATATATCTTCTGATGAGGCCTGGCTGTCACGGAAGGACAGCCATATGGAAAACATCTGAGTGACCTCACTGTGAATGACACAAAGACATACATAGGAAACGAAGAGTTACTTATTACCTCTTATTACCGAAGGACAGCAATAAATCTTCCATTAGCAACTACAACACTTAAGGAAAAGTTGTGTAGCTAAGATAATCTTATAAACTAGAAACTAATGGTTTAGTAATTAGGAAGTGTGTCAATTATCATATAACAAATGTATGTTAACCATATATAGAAAAATGCATGAGCTCACCGAATCCTTTGTCTTGGATATGTATAAAAACAGTTGTATCAGAGCTCTTTCCTGGTTCAAAGTTTCAGGTACAAATCTGGCTCTGAACCTTGCGCAATAAACTGACTCTGGCTGACCCAGGAATATTGTTCAGTCTCAATTTTTCCACAACAGCCTCCTGTACACATCACGGCCGCCCACACATGCACACGCAGCCCCCCACATGCAGCCCCCCACGCATGTGCGGCAGAGACCCAAAGACCAGCTGGCTGGTGGGAGGTGCGTGTGCATGGGTGGAGGAGCTGAACTGGGGCAATGGCTCACATGCCCACAGAAAGGACACTACATGCCACCTCTGGCACGCGTGCCATAGGTTTGCCATCATGGGTATAGGGTCTTCTGCTTGAGCAGAGAGTTGGAGTAGATAGAAGACCTCCAAGGTCCCTTCCAACTCTATATTCTGTTAACACTGAAAGGGCTCGCAATCTGGGAGTCCTCCTGGATAGGCAGCTGTCTTTGGAGGAACATCTAACGGCTGTTACCAGGGGGACCTTTTATCAGGTTCGCCTGATTCGCCAGTTGCGGCCCTTTCTTGATCGGGATTCCTTGTGCACAGTCACTCACGCCCTCGTCATCTCTCGCCTTGACTACTGCAACGCTCTCTACATGGGGCTCCCCTTGAAGAGCACCCGGAGGCTCCAGCTGGTCCAGAATGCAGCAGCGCGGGTAGTGATGGGAGCAACATGGCGCTCCCATGTAACACCGCTCCTGCGCGAGCTGCACTGGCTCCCGATGGTCTTCCAGGTGCGCTTCAAGGTGTTGGTTATCACCTTTAAAGCGCTCCATGGCATAGGGCCTAGCTATCTCCGAGACCGCCTGCTGCTACCGACGACCTCCCATCGACCCGTGCGCTCCCACAGAGAGGGCCTCCTCAGGGTGCCATCAGCCAAACAATGTAGGCTGGTGGCCCCCAGGGGGAGGGCCTTCTCTGTGGGGGCACCTACCCTCTGGAATCAGCTGCCCCCAGAGATAAGAAGAATCCATGACCTCAATGCCTTCCGTCGTTCCCTGAAAACCTATCTTTTTCAGCAAGCCGGGTTGGCTTAGAAGAAATTTTTAGATTCTTTTAATTAGTTTGTGATTCTTAACTTTCGGGCCAAAATTTATATATATTTTTAAATCTTTTAATATTTGTATTCTATG